CTTCCAGCTTTAGATGATCCAATCAAGAAGATCTCTCTCATTTCAGTTAATCCCAGATCCAGTCAAGTTGACACCCAGTATTAGCCATCACAGTGAGCTTGTCTTAAAAAACAAAATAGACAAGCCAGACATGGTGGCATATGCCTTTAGTCCCAGCACTGGGAGACAGAGGCAGGTGGATCTTTGTGAGTTCAAGGCCAGCCTGGTCTACATAGCAAGTTCCAGGCTAGCTAGGGCCACAGGGAGACCCTGTCTCAGCCCCCCCCCCAACCCAAACAAACAAAAAGAAAAAACAGGCTGGGTGTGGTGGTGTGTGCCTTTAGTCCTAATACTTGAGAGGCAGAGGCAGGCAGATCTCTATGAGATGAAGGCTAGCCTGGTCTACATAGTGAGGTCCAGGCCAACTGGGACTACAAGGAGACTTTCAAAAAAGAACAAACAACAACAAAACACAAACACATTGGATTGGGGAGATAGCTCTGCTGGTAAAGTACTTGCTTTGCTAGCATGAGGACCTGAGTTTGAGCCTAAGAACCCATGTTAAAAAAAAAAAAATTGTGTATGGTGGCTCATGCTTACAATCTCAGGGCTGAGGAGGTAGAAACCAGTCGATCCCTGGCACTTACTGCCAGCCAGGCCAGACTACTTGGTGAGCTCCAGGCCAGTGAGAGATTTTGTCTCAAAAAACAGGGAGGAGAGCTTCTAAGGGATGACAATTGAAGTTGTCCTCTGCTCTCCACATGTGTATGTGTACCCCTACACACACATATATATAAAAATAAATAAATGAAGAAACATCCAGAATGATGGCACAGGCCTATGATCCCAGCTCTTGGGAAGTAGAGTCAGGAGGATCAGGAGTTTAAGGTCAACCTCATCTACATTTTGTTTTGTTTTGAGACAGACAGGGTCTCCCTGTAGTCCCAGCTGGCCTGGAACTCCCTATATAGACCAGGCTGGCCTCAAACTCACAGAGATTCGCCTGCCTTTGCCTCCAAAGTGCTGGGATTAAAGGTGAGCATCACCATGTCAGGTTCTCATCCACATACTGACTTTCAAAAAACAAAACCAACCAAAAAACCCAAACTAGTACATTCAAAATGACTCAGCAGGTAAAGGTACTTGCCCCAGTCTGATCCCCTGAACTCACATGGTAGACTGAAAGAACAAACTCCTGCAAATTGTCCTCTGGCCTCCACATGGACACATACAACACATAAACAGGGCTGGTGGTGCACTTCTTTAGCCCTAGCACTGGGGAGGCAAAGGCAGATCTCTGGGAGTTTGAGGCCAGCCTGATCTATATAGTCAGTTCCAGTTCAGCCAGGGATACATAATGAGACCCTGTCTCAGGAAAAAACAAACAAAAACCAAATAAATATTAAAAAACAAAAACCCCAGCAAACCAAACCAACCAACCAAAAACTCTAAAATTTGTGGGCAAAGGATGGATGCTATGCATGTCATTTTGACATCATGACATTGTGACATACTGGTAGTGCTCTGTGTTCTTCCTTCATGGCACTTCTCAGTTTGTAACCAAGTACTAAGTATTTACCTGTTTTCTCCACTGTACTCTCAAGTTCTTTTGGGTTCCTTAGGTGCCTGGAGTAAGTTTTACCATCCTATCCCCAGGGTCTGGTCTACTTAGCAAGTTCTAGGCAGACAGGGCTACATGGTGAGACTCTATCACTTTTTTTTGGTTTTGTTTTGGTGTTTTTGAGACAGGGTCTCTCTGTAGCCCCAGCTGGCTTGGAACTCACCATGTAGACCAGACTGGCCTTGAACTCACAGAGATCTGCCTGCCTCTGCCTTCTGAGTACTGGGATTAAAGGTGTGCACCACCACACCTGTCTCAAAAAGCAAACAAACTGGGACTGGAGAGATGACGGCTGAGTGGTTAAGAGCACTTGTTGTTCTTGCAGAGAACCCAGGAGGTTTGATTCCCAGCACCCACAAGGTAATTCATGACTGTAACTCCAGTTCTCAGAGGTTGGGATGGGGGTGGGAATCTGTAAGCCCTCTTCTGACCTCCACAGGTATTGTACACACATGGTGTACTTACATGCAGGTAAAAACACTCATACAATTTTTTTTTTTTTGGTCTTTTTGAGACAGGGTCTCCCTGTAGCGCCAGCTGGCATGGATTTTCTATGGAGACCAGGTTGGCCTTGAACTCACAAAGATCTGCCTGCCTCTGCCTCCTGAGTGCTGGGATTAAAGGTGTGTGCTACCACACCCAGCCTCTTACAATTTTTAAAAATTAAAAATAAGGGGCTGGCAGGGCCTGGTGGTGCACACCTTTAATCCCAGCACTCGGGAAGAGAGGTAGGGGGACCTCTGTGAGTTCGAGGCCAGTCTGGTCTACATAGTGAGTTCCAGGACAGCTGGGGCTACAAGGAGACCCTGTCTCAAAAAGACAAAAAAAAAAAAAAAAAAAAAAAAAAGAGGGCTGGAGAGATGGCTCAGTAGTTAAGAGCACTGGTTGCTCTTACAGAGAACTGGGGTTCAGTTCCCAGCAAGCACATGGTAGCTAACAACTGCCTGTAACTCTAGTTCCAGAGAATCCAATGCCTTCTGACCTCCAAAGGCATTTCTCAACATGGTGCTCATGCATACAGGCAAGCAAAACACTCATATACTTAAAAAAAAATTGCCCGGCCTGGTAGCGTATGCCTTTAATCCCAGCACTTGGGGAGGCAGAGACAAGCGGATCTCTGTGAGTTCAAGGCCAGCCTGGTCTACATAGTGAGTTCCAGGACAGCTGGGGCTACAGGGAGACCCTGTCTCAAAAACACCAAAAGAAAAAAAAAAATTAAAAAGAAAACAAGATGGGGAGGAGCTCAGTTGGGGAGGTAGCTTAATTGCTTAGACTGCTTGCCAAGTATGCACAAAGCCCTGGGTACCAACCCCAGTACAAATGAAATGGACGTGGTGGCAACACCAGCACAGGAAGGTGGGGGCAGGAGGATCAGCAAATACACCAAAATGAATGACACAGGGATTAGCATGGGCTCTGTGCAAGAATGGTCTGCCAATCTCTGAAGTATTCCAAATTAAAAGGAAGGGATAGGACTGAAGAGATGACTCAGCAGTTGAGAGCATGTACTGTATACTGCTCTTGCAGAGGACCTGAGTTCAATTTCCAGCACCCACAACAGGCAACTCGCAATTGCCTGGAAATCCAGTTCCAGGTGATCTGACATCCTTTTCTGGGCTCCATGGGGTACCGTTTGAGGGCACCCACACACACACCTAAACAAAAAAATTCTGGATGGGGCTGGTCTTGGCTCAGTGAGTACATGTGCCTGCCATTAAGCCTGACAACCTGAGTTTAATCCCCAGGACCTACCATGAAGGAGAAAACCAGCTCCTTCAAGTTGTCCTCCGACTGCCACACTCTGGTGCGTGTGATCCTTCACTCCTACACACAAATATATGTAAAAAAACAAAAAGTTCCTGGATAGGCTGGAAATCTATCTAAGTTGGTAGTGTGCTTGCATAGTATGCACAAGGCTCTGGGTTCCTGGGTTGAACACCCCACCCCCACCCCCACCCCTGCATATACCTGGATCTACAAGGTGAGCTACCCCTGAAGGAGTCAAATAGATGAAATGTCACATGGAAATAAAAACAGGATGAAGTCTTAATGTTGACAATGAGAGGTTTATTCCCAAATTAAGACTTTTTTTTTTGGTCTTTTTGAGACAGGATTTCCCTGCAGCCCCAGCTGGCCTAGAGGACACTATGTAGACTAGGCCTCTGCCAGCCTGGTCTACATAGGGAGTGCTGGGATTAAAAGTGTGCACCATCACGCCTGACTGAGACAGATCTCTTAGACTATATCAGTGTAAAGTGCATTCTGAGAGGACTACAGGGAACTCCAAGAAATACAGCAAGGCGAGCCAAGCCCATGGAGGAAGGCTTTCCCAGGAAATGTTTATGTTGAAACTAAAAGGTTCAAGCCCCTTAACACTGCACACTCGCCATCTCAGGAACAATTCTGGCCTTCTACTCTTCTCTGCCTTTGGACTGGTTTTCCACGTGCTGTCTTCCCGTCTTCTGAAAGCAGGACTGAGAATTTCTCATCCTTTAAGTGAAGCCGCCACCGCCTCTCCCCAAAGGAGTTAGTTATCCTCTCAGACCTCTCGAAACCAAGCAGAAACTGTGTACTTGGCTTGTCTCTATCTACCACACTATGAGGTCATCATGGTCTCAGAGCCCAGGATGAGCCAACTCAATAGGTGTCTGCAGAATTTAAAATGAGGTTAGCTCCAAAGGAGGGTGAGAAGAAAATGACTCAAGACAGAGGGGTGGGCTGAGCTCATTGGAATGGTGTTTTCACAGAACCGAACCTGGGCGGACGTGATGAGGTAAGCTAGTACAAGAATTTCCAAAGTAGGTCAGTCCTTCCTATCTCTTTAAGAACTAGAGGCTTTGTTCTCGCGCCTGCGCAAGGAGAGAGTAACCGCCTCTTTTCACCCTCCTCTTTCCCCGTGGCCCCAACCTCCTCCCAAACTCCCCTTCTTCGGACGGGATAATGGTCCGTCCCAGAGTGCCAGGCTCAGCCTGGAGGTGGCAGACGAAAATGGTACATCCCACTGCCTTCCTACCTTGCAGGCTTTCACGGTTCCTTTGTTCTATTTCCCCCTAACAAATAAAGCGTAATGGGTTGGTCTCAAGGAAGGGGGGGAGCCGGGATGGGGACCGGTCTGAGCCGGTCTGTGGCGCAGGCGCAGTGCGGATAAACAGGAAGCGGGCGGTAGAGGCAGAGGCCGCGGAGCGCCGGGGTCTGGGAGCGTAGCCGTGGAACTTTGGTTGTCTGGAGGGCAGCCGCGCTGAGAAGGAAAGGCGTCTGACCGTCTTTCCGCGGAAGCGAGGTGCAGCTCGGTTCTCCGCGCCGGCTCCCGGGCCCCAGCTCAGGCGGCTGCCACTGACAAAGGGCTCGAGCCGGCGCCGCCCTTCTCATCCGGGCATTCGGGCCTCTGCGGAGACGAAGGGGGAAGGGCTGAGGGGGGAGGGGAAGGAACCCGAGAGCCGCGAGTGCTGTGGGAGCCGAGGCCCTTATCTAAGGCTCCGGGCCTGTGGCCCAACGGACGGAGACCGACGAGGACCGCGGGCGGCGGCGGGTGGCTGCAGGAGGATGGTGCAGAAGGAGAGCCAGACGGCGCTGGAGGAGCGGGAGAGTGACCTTAGCTCCAATCCCGCCGCCTCCCCGGGGGCGTCGCTGGAGCCGCCCGCCCCGGGGCCCGAAGACAACCCTTCCGGAGCCGCCGGAGCGGCTGGGGCGGGCGCGGCCGGAGGGGCACGCAGGTTCCTGTGCGGCGTGGTGGAAGGTGAGCGTTCCTCCCCACGCGAGCACCGCCTGTCCTTGGGAGGGGCTGATAGGGGTTTCATGGGGGCTGCTCCCCCCCAGTAGGAAACGTGGCTTTGCTTCAGAGCGGGGAGGCGAGACGGTGCGCGGTATTTGCTTTTTCTGGTCCTTACGGCGTCCGGTTCCCCTGGCTATTGAGCCTGACCGCGCCCGCCTTGGGTTTGGAGCCAGGCTGAGTTCCGGGGAGGCGGTGGCGGGGAGCCTGCTGTTAGGCTGAGTTAGATTTCTTTGTACCTTGGGATCTTACTCCCCAGGATTGTCTGCTTTCGAGTGAAAAAACGTGTGCGGTGCTCCGGTCCCCACCCTTGGAGGGGGAAAAAATACCACACAGGCGTGTTTTACGAGTGAAGGGGAGCACAGCTTACAGTATTAAAATTCCTCCTTGCTTAGAAATTTTTTTGCTGGCCAGCAAGCCCCTACCCCTTTGAAGACTCATGCAGCCTAGAAAATTGCTCTCCTTCCCAGCTACTGTTCTTTAATCTGGAGGAGTGAAATCTTGAGTGTTTTCTAACGGAATTGGAATTCAGTGTCTACACGAGGCTTACATTTTCTCGATGATCACCTTCTTATTCATAATAAAAAATGAGGGGGACGTTTTGGTAGTTGGTAGTGAGGGAAGATTGCCAGAAGATCATACTACAGTTTGTGGGTAAGAATGGACAGGTATTAGCCAGGCGTGGTGGTGCACGCCTTTAGTTCCAGCACTCGGGAGGCAGAGGCCGGCAGATCTCTGTAAATTCAAGAGTTCAAGGCCAGTCTGATCTACTTAGCGAGTTCCTGGCTGGCTAGGGTTACAGGGAGACTTGTCTCAAAAAAACAAAGAAAAAAAGAATGGACAGGTATTGTGCCCTGCAGTTAGGAAGCACAGATCAGTTAATTTTGTTCCCTTTCCTTGATTGCCACGTTTATTTGCATTTTCTTAAGTTTTTACAAATCAAGGTTTTCTAGTTGTCTGTAAAAATTAATATTCATAGTAAATAAGGCTCGAAGAGGAAAAATGTAGGCTTCCCTTCTTGGTTGGGAGCATCAGCTTTTCCATGTTGTTACTGTATAAATCTATTTTGAAAGATAAAAGGTAGTGATTATGGTGTTTTAGATGAAGTTCATGGGAGAGGAGGGCAGTCTTGGCAGCTATAGTAGGACGTGAACGAGTTCAGCAAAATTAATCTTAGAAAATTTAGAGGAAGACAGTGTTCTGTTGGCCTCAGTATTTATGAGATGATTGCTTTGTGTGACCTACCTGTTGATGTAAACGTTTGTGTTGGTAAAGTGCAGGAGGATTTTAGAAAAAGAATTTGGTAGATTTTTATTTTGTCTTTTTGAGACAGGTTCTCCCTGTAGCTCCAGCTGACCTGAACTCACTATGTAGACCAGGCTGGCCTTGAACTCACAAAGATCTGCCTGCCTCTGCCTCCCAGGTGCTGGGACTAAAGGCATGCGCCACCACGCCCGGCAATTTTTAATTTTTTTAGTACTTTATTATTTTCATTATTTGTTTGAGTGTGTTGCCTACATGTATAAGTGCGCCTGAGTCGTGCAGTACCAGCAGAGGTCAGAATAGGGCATCAGATCCCCTGGAACTGGAGTCGTGGATGGTTGTTAGCCACCATGTGGATGCTGGGAATCGAACCCAGGTCCTCTGCAAGAGCAGCCAGTGCTCCCAACCACTGAGCCATTTCTCTGGCACCTTTTTTTTTTTTTAATAGCAAGGGAGGGCACACATTTTTGACAAAAAGAGAATAGGTCTAAAACAAATTATGCAAGTCATTGAGATCTGCATTGGTGTATGTTAAGTTAGACTCTGTAATCTTGTCTATAAATGAGACAAAGAAGATATTTCTATTGTTTGGAGACAGGGAGTTTCGCAGCCCAGGTGTGCTAGCAGCTGGCTGAGGCACAGGATGACACTGAACTCTTCTCCTTTAGAGGGTATTACTTTGCAGCCCTGCTGACCTTGACCGCTCTGTAGATCAGGTTGGCCTCGAACTCAAAATGATTTACCTGCCTCTACCTCCCTAGCTTTGAAATTGAGGTGTGTGCTGCAATGGCTGGTGACACTGAATGATTCTCCAGCTTCTACCTCTGGAGTGGTAGGGTTACAGGCCTGTCATAAGCCCTGTTTGGGCATGTTTTTTGGTGAGCACTGTCCCCTCCTGCCTGTTCTCTTCCCCCCATTCCATTGTGGCCTGGAACTCACCTTGTCTCCTAAAACTGCCTCCAATTAGTGGCAGTCCTGCCTCAGTATCCCAAGTGGTAGAATTAAAGGCTTTTGAGTCACTATGCCTGGCACAGTTCTGTATTATAAAGATCTTAGGATGGTGAGGGGCAATAATTAAAATATAATCAAAGTTAGGCTGGATTGAATGTAAGAAAACTTGGCAGTCTATTATATTGTCAGTAATTTAAGGAGATCGTTTACTATAGTTTAAACTGCTTTCCTTTTAATACTATTAAAAGAGCATTTTCCTTATAGTATATTAAAATACAGTTGTCTTTAATTCTCTTGCGTTTTTCCTTCTCTCATTCCCTTATATGTTTTGTTCCTAAATGAGCACTGAACCAGCATCAGTTAGTTTATTTAGGACTTAGTGGTTGGTACATTCTAAAATAAAGGTTAGGAAATACAGTAGTTACTGCCAGGATTCCTTTTTCCTTTCTTGTCCTCACAAACCTTTGCTGGTTCCACCTCTCTTCTTAACTAGCACTGTTTCCTCTTTGAGGTGCCAGTTAACCCAGACCACAAACCTGATATTCAACAGTACAGAGTTTGTGAAGATTAACATGTTCAAGTTAGGCTTTTTTGTATATGTGAAACAGGGTCTCACTGTGTATCCCTCGCTGGCCTGGAATTTGCTATGTAGACCATGCTAGCCTCTAATTCAGAGAGTCTCCTGCCTCTGCTTCTGGGATGCTGGGGCTAAAGTGTATGCCACCATCCCCCACAAGTTAGACATTTGTAAATCATCTTTCCTTTTTATATTGGAGGACCTCTGAAGGAATTTTTGTTTGCTTTTAGTTTTTGAAACAGGATCTCATGTAGCCCAGGCTAGCTTTAAACTTGTTGTGTGACTGTGGCTGGACTTGAACTCATCTCTTGCCTCTATTTTCCAATTTCGGAGATTATAGACCTGTGCCACTAAGCCTGCTTTAAAAAGATGTTTAATACATGCCCCTTGAAGAGAAAAATGACAAAGAAAAACTAACATCTTGTATAATTTGCTATATCAAAAATACTTTTAAGGGGCTGGAGAGATGGCTCATCCGTTAAGAGATGGCTGCTCTTACAGAGGTACTGGGTTCAGGTTCCAGAACCCATATGGCTGACAATAATCATCTATAACTCTAGTTCCAGGAAATGCCACTTTCTGACCTGCGGGCATTGCATGTGGGAGCACTTATATACAATGCAAGCAATATACTCACATATAAAAATAAAAAAGGGGCTGGAGAGATGGCTGGAGTTACAGACTATTGTTAGCTGTCATGTGGGTGCTAGGAACTGAACCTAGGGTGCTCTGTAAGCACTTAGTGTAACCAGTAAGCCATCTCTCCAGATTGAGTTATTCTTTAGAAGTTTCATTTGGGCCAGGTGTGGTGGTGCACACCTTTAATCCCAGCACTTGGGAGGCAGAGGCAGATATTTGTGAGATCAAGGCCAGCCTGGTCTACATAGCAAATTCTAGGCCATCTGGGGCTACAGGGAGAGCCTATCTCAAAAAGATGCCCCACCCCCCTCAAAAAAAAAAGACAGTAGTTTCATTTGTGCTGGGTGGGTGGGTGGTCCGGAAGTATATCATTTGCCTAGTGTGTTCAAGGTTCTGGGGTCATCAGTACTGCAAAAAAAAAAAAAAAAAAAAAAAAAAAAGATTTTTGTTTTGGGAGTACTGGGAATTGAATTTAGGGCTTCATGAGAGTGCTTAGCCAGCACTCTTAACAGAGTCATAGCCCAACAAAGAATGAAATGTATTTTGGTCTTTACCCAATGGTGGCACTCCCCTGTAATCCTGATACTTTGGGAGGCAGAGACTGGAGGACTGCTGCAAGTTTGAGAACAGCCTGTAGTTAGTTCTAGGCCAACTGGGGTTACATAGTAGGGCCTTGTCTTATTTAAAAAACAAAACAAAAAAACAGCCTGGCATGGTGGCTCATGCCTTTAATAGAGGCAGGCAGATGAATATGAGTTCATGAGTTCAAAGCCAGTCTCTTGTAGAGTTCCAGGCCAGCTGGGGCTACAGGGAGACCCAATCTCAAAAAGACTTAAAGAAAACAAAAAACAAAAAACAAAAACAACAAAAACCCTGTCATATAAGTAATAAATATGATAGGAAAGTAAGAAAATATACATGAGCAATTAGGGAATAAGTGACTTCTTTATCACCACCCAGAGAGAGATACACTGTATATGTTTCATGACCTACTTTTCTCAGTTAAAACATACCCCATACACAGTGAGAATGTCTTTTAAAAAAAGGTGTGGGGGATAGCTGGACATGGTGGTGTAGGCCGTTAATCCCAGCACTTGGGAGGCAGAGGCAGGCGGATCTTTGTGAATTTAAGGCCAGCCTGGTCTACATAGTGAGTTCCAGGACAGCTGGGGCTACAGGGAGACCCTGTCTCAAAAAGACCAAACAACAACAACAACAACAACAAAAAACCCATTTTGAAACTTAAAATAATTTTATTTTTTTTCTTTAGGATTTTATGGAAGACCTTGGGTTATGGAACAGAGAAAAGAACTCTTTAGAAGGTAAATTTTTTATCATGTGAAGCAGAGAGGAGGATCTTAAGCCCTTTTTTGTTTGAAGGACTGTACTGAATAAGCCCGGTACAACAGCAGAATTTATTTTACCTTGATCCTTTATATCTTCACCTAGGCTAGTTGTTTTCAAAATTTTCCTGGGGAAGCTGAAGAGGTTTGGGACTTTGCCTACCTTATTTAGAGTTGTGTTTTTAATTCAAGACCTTAATATGCTGACATACTTTGTAATAGTCAATTTCAAGATTCCATTGATAAAGTTTAAAAATAGAAGCCAGGCGTGGTGGCATGCCTTTAATCCCAGCACTTGGGAGGCAGAGGCAGGCAGATCTCTGTGAGTTCAAGGCCAGCCTGGTCTACATAGTAAGTTCCAGGACAGAAGGGGTTGCAGGGAGACCCTGTCTCAAAAAAAGACAAAAAAGACAAAAAAAAAAAAAAGAATAGTACACTAGGTGTGGTGGTGTGCGCCTTTAATCCCAGCACTTGGGAGGCAAAGGCAGGCGGATCTCTGTGAGTTCAAGGCCAGGACAGCCTGGTCTACATAGTGGGTTCCAGGCCAGGTTAGGGCTACAGGGAGACCCTGTCTCAAAGAGAAAAAAAAAAGAAGAATAGTACTACTTTGGCATGAGATAGCTGTAAAAAAGAAAATTGAGATTTATAGCCTATTTTGTTGCCTATTTATATATATGTAATTTTTCTTTTCCTTAAGGCTTCAGAAATGGGAATTAAATACATACTTGTATGCACCAAAAGATGACTACAAACATAGGATGTTTTGGCGAGAGATGTATTCGGTGGAAGAAGCTGGTAATCTTTTTCTTCCCCTTCTCTGTGTGTGTATATGTATGTGTGTGCTAGGGGCATTCCTATGTGGGGTTGTTTCTCTCCTTCCATTGAGAGTTTCTGAGATGAACTCGGATTGTCAGGCTTGCACAGTAAGTGCTTTTACTTGCTGAGCCATTTATTGACCTGATGGTACTCTTTTTGATCTATAAATTCAAATATGTGGAAAAGAAACCATTTTAATATACTAGAATCCTACTAAAAAATTCATTTTACTTTATATAGGTATTTAACTTTTATTTGGCACCTAGTCTGTGTTAGCTAGTGAAGATTTAAAGTGTGGCACTAACAAGGTCATTCATGATGAGTATGATTTGTAGTTGTGTCAATCTGACTCCATAGGTTTTTTTTCTTTTTGGGGTGGTCTTTTTGAGACAGGGTCTCCCTGTAGCCCCAGCTGACCTTGAACTCAGAGATCCACCTGCCTCTGCTGGGATTAAAGGTGTATGCCACCATCCCCAGCTATTGGTTGTATTTTTTACTTCTATTAGTGATCTATAGATAGTGAACTATTGGAAAAGTACTGAAGCCAGGGATAGGCTTAGGACAAAGAAGTGAGGCCACCAGCTTTACCTTATGTGAGTGTTTTGCCTGTGTGCATGTAAGGGCACTCATGTTGTACCATGCCAGCGGAGACCAGAAGAGGGCGCTGGATCCCCTAGTTAGGCAGTTGAGAGCTGCCCTGCATAAGTGCTGTGAACTGAACTCTGGTCTTCTGCAAGAGCATATGTGCTCTTAACCTCTGACCAGTCTCTAGCTTCCCTGTGTAATTTGTTCTTTTTTTATTTATTTATTCGCTCGTTGGTTGGTTGGTTGGTTGGTTCGTTCAATGAATGTTTTGCCTGCAACAACATAAGTGCACCCGTGGGCAAAGCCCAAGAAGGCCAGAAGAGGGCATTGAATCCCTGAAACTAGTTGGGGTGGTTGTTAGCTGCCATGTTGATGCTGGGAATTGAACCCAGGTCCTCTAGAAGAGCAGCCAGTGCTTTTAGCCACTGAGCTATCTCTCCAGCCCCCTCTCTAGCCCCACCACCCCCACCTCCAGTAATTTTTTTTTTTTTTGTCTTTTTGAGAAAGGGTCTCCCAGTAGCCCCAGCTGGCCTGGAACTCATTATGTAGACCAGGCTGGTCTGAACTCAGCCTCCTGCCTCTGCCTCCCACGTTCTGGGATCAAAGGCATGTGTTACCACACTCTTATTTGTGTAATTTTTTTTTTTTTTGGTCTTTTTGAGACAGGGTCTCCCTGTAGCCCCAGCTCTCCTGGAACTCACTTGTGTAGACCAGACTGAATATGCAGTCCAGTCTGGCCTTAAACTCGCAGCAGTCTTTCTGTTTTAGCCTCCTGAGTGCTAGAATTAAAGATGTGAGCCACCACATCTGGCTTGTGAAACATTCTTTTTCTCTTTGAAGATGACAGATTTTTTTCCTTTTTTGAAAATTTGATGCAGGGTCTTTTTTTTTTTATTATTATTTTTTAAATTTGGTCTTTTTGAGACAGGGTCTCCCTGTAGCCCAGCTGACCTGGAACTCACTATGTAAACCAGGCTGGCCTCGAACTCACAGAGATCACCTCCCTCTGCCTCCCATGTGCTGGGATTAAAGGCGTGTACCACCACGCCTGGCTTGAGGCAGGGTCTTATGTAGCCTAGTCTGGCTTTGAACTTCCTGTGTGACTGAGGCTGGTCTTGAACCCCTGATCCTCCTGCTTCTGCCATCTAATTGCTGAGATAGCAGGTAAGGCAAAACATTGCGTGAACATCAATTTTAAAAAAAAATTTTTTTGACCTTTTTAAGACAGGGTCTTCTTTTTGAGAGGGCTGAAGAGATGGCTCAGTGGTTAAGAACACTGGTTGTTCTTGCAGAAGACCCGGGTTTGAATCCCAGCACCCACATGGCAGCTAACAACTGTCCATAACTCCAGTCCCATGGGATCTGACAGCCTCTTCTGACCTCCATGGGCATTGCACGACACAGGTGCACTTACCTACATGCAAACAATACAAGCATACACACACACACACAAAAAAAAAAAAAAAAAAAAAAAGTTTCCTTTTTTGTGAGTTAGAAAAGGTTTCTAGCCGGATGTGGTGGTGCATACCTTTAATACCAGCACTTGGGAGGCAGAGGCACGTGGATCTCTGTGAGTTCAAGGTCAGCCTGGTCTACGTAGTGAGTTCCAGGCAAGCTGGAGCTACAGGGAGACCCTGTCTCAAAAGGCCGGAAAAAAAAAAAAAAAAAAAAGGTTTCTTTTACTTTTCTGTGTTGCTTCCTAAAAACATGGACTCTGTTCTTCAGAGCAACTTATGACACTCATCTCTGCTGCACGAGAATATGAGATAGAATTCATTTATGCTATTTCACCTGGATTGGACATCACTTTTTCTAACCCCAAAGAAGTATCAACATTGAAGCGCAAATTGGACCAGGTAAGTCCTTTTATTTTTCATGATTCGGTATTAAAATGAACTTTTCTAAATTCCTTTATGATGTTAAAAGGAAATCAAAATTGTATTTTGTTTCTGTAAGAAATAGTTCAATAATTCTGGGTAAAGGAATTTTTATCAATCAAAAGAACTTTACCATTGCTTCTCAAATTTCAGTTTGGGTACGAACTGCTTCTAAAGGAGATTGGAAGCTGGTGGTTTGGCTTGATAGTAGAGCTTTGTTTAGCATGTATTAGATCCTAGGTTCAAATCCCAGTACCACAAAAAACCCTGAGCACCCACTAATGCTTAGAAGTAGTAATGTTTTATTCAGATCCTTAGGCTGGCATGGACAGATCAGGAATCTGAGTAATTGTGAGATGCACTTTGTAAACATGTAAGCTGTTAGTGACCCAGATTCATGTTTAACTTGCACTTGACATACAAGCTACATAATTTTTGGTAGTGTAGAGCTCCAATTGCTCATTGGTTTTTAAGTTTACTCTTTTTTCTATATGCATGTTGTATTAGGCAAAATTAATATTGGTGGCATTAAATGGCTAATCAAAACTTCTAAAGTAGAAGCTAGGTATGGTGTCTTAACGATTGTAATTCAGCATTTGAGAGGCTGAGGCAGGAGGATTGTCAAATTTCAGGCCAGCCTGGGCTATAATGTGAGAGACCCTATCTTAAAAAGTAAAGTGGTGGTGCATGCCTTTAATCCCAGCAGGCAGGCGCATCTCTGAGTTCATGGTCAGCCTGGTCTACATAGTGAGAGTTCCAGGCCAGCTGGGCCTACAGGGAGACCCTGTCTCAAAAAGATTTGAAAAAAATAAGGGAGGGGGGCCTGGAGAGATGGCTCAGCAGTTAAAAGCACTGGCTACTCTTGCAGAAGACCCTGGGTTCAGTTCTCAGTGCCTGCATGATGGGTAACAACCGTCCGTAACCCCAGTTCCAGGGCATCTGACACCCTATTCTACTCTCCACAGGCATTGTATGACATGGGTGAACTTACATACATGCAGGCAATATATTGGTACACATAAAACTAATAAAACGTTTTTTTTTTTTAAAAACAAACCAGCTGGAGAGGTGGCTCAACAGTTAAGAGGCATACTACTATTGCAGAGGACCTGAGTACAGTTCCTAGACCCCATATTGAGTGACTTACAACCTGTAACTCTTACCAGGCTGCAGGGGATCCAACATCCTCTTCTGGCAGACACACACAGAACTAAAAATAACCCTTTTAAAAAAATATTTTATTTATTATTTTTATTTTATCTGTATGAGTGTATTGCCTGCATGTAGGTAAGTGCACCCATGTCATGCAGTGCTGGTGGAGGACAGAAGAGGCCATCAGATCCCCTGGAACTGGAGTTAGAGACAATTGTTAGCTGCCATGTGGGTGCTGGGAGTCGAACCTGGGTTTTCTGCAAGAACAACCAGTGTTCTTAACTACTGAGCCATCTCTCCAGCCCCTGAACCATTTTATTTAAAAAATAAAAGCAAAACAGAGGCATTGAGATGACTCAGTGAGTAAAAGCTTTTTGCTACACAAACCTGAGAACCTTACTTCAGTTCCTGGAATCTACATTTAAAAATGTATAAACATTGTTGGCCCATATACTTAATTCACACCAAAATGAATAATGGGTCCCAAAACACTATCTAGCTATATTAGAACGTCTTCCACTGAAAATGTAAAAAGAACAGATATGCTTTGAATATTCCAAGGAAAATATTTGACTTTGAGAATATCCATTAGTTTGTACTTAGAATCTTTTGTTTTTGCCTCCAAATGGCCTAATTAATAATCACCTTGATTTTCCCCCGCAGGTCTCTCAGTTTGGGTGCAGGTCATTTGCCTTGCTTTTTGATGATATTGACCATAATATGTGTGCAGCAGACAAAGAGGTATTCAGTTCTTTTGCTCATGCACAGGTCTCCATCACAAATGAAATTTACCAGTACCTAGGAGAGCCAGAAACTTTCCTCTTCTGCCCTACAGGTATTGTATAAAATAACTTAGTTTTATTTATTTATTTTTTTCAGACAGGGTCTCCCTATAGCACCAGCTGGCCTGGAACTCACTATGTAGACCAGGCTGGCCTGGAATTCACAGAGATCTGCCTGCCTCTGCCTCCCAAGTGCTGGGACTAAAGGCATGCGCCACCAGACCTGGCCTAAAATAACTTTGTATTTAACTAGTCTTGAAATACGTAACTTCCAAAGGACTCTACTGCACTAGACCTGTCCTTGGTGTGTAAAACTAGGAGGACTTTTCTAGAAGACATTTTTCAAGGACTTACTGGAGAAATTTAGGACCTTATAGATATCAAAGGTCTAGGGAAAAGATGTTATATATTTTTAATATTGGAAGTCTGTAAATATCACATTGTCCAGACTAAAGGAAGAATGGTATTATCAACATGAAAACTGGAAAAAACAAATTTATATTACTTTTAACTTAGTTGCTTCTCATTTCCTCCTCCTTGTTCCCTTTTTCTGCCCATGAATATCCGTCCCTTTTTTCCACTTCTCCCACTCAATCTGGGCTCTATTTCTGGTCGTCAGGGAAAGTATCACCCCTCACCCCCGCTCCCTGCCTTCGTTTTCTTCCATTAAAAATACTTTCATCTAAGCTGGGTGTGGTGGCACATACCTTTAATCCCAGCACTTGGGAGGCACAGGCAGGCACATCTCTGTGAGTGTGAGGCCAGCCTGGTCTACATAGCGAGTTCCAGGTCAGCTGGGGCTACAGGGAGACCCTGTCTCAAAAAGGACCCCCCCCCAAAAAAAATTATTTTTTCATCTTTTAGTTGGTGCTCAAAATTCAACCTCCCCAGACACTTTTTAAAATTTATTTTTTATTTATTTTATTTTTTGAGACAGGGTCTCCTTTTGTAGATCAGGCTGGCTTTGAACTCACAGAGATCATCCACCTGCCTCTGCCTCCCAAGTGCTGGGACTAAAGGTATGCACCACCACACCTGGCCGTGTTTTTTTTGTTTTTTTTAAAAAATTTTAAAATATTTTTAATTTGAATGTATTGCCTGCATGTGTATAAGTGCACCTGTGTTGTGTAGTTCCCATGAAGGTCAGAAGAAGGCATCAGATCCCTTGGAACTGGAGTTAGGGATGTTTTTTAGCTGCCATGTGGGTATTGGAATTGAACCCTGGGTCCTCTGTAAGAGCAGTCAGTCCTCTTAACCACTGAGCCATCTCTCCAGCCCTGTCATTTCTTATTCAGGAAGAGATGTTAGTTGTGAGAAATAAATAGTTGAAACTGTTTGGGGTGGGGGTGGGGCAGTAGGGTGGGGTTTGGTCTCATCTATCTGCTTAGTCTGACAGGTCATGGATTACAGATACATATCACCATGGCAAGCTTATTTCTTTCCTTTATTCTTTCTTTTTTTTTTTTTCTTCTATTTGAGACAGGGTCTCTCTGTAGCCCCAGCTGGCCTGGAATGCTGTGTAGACCAAGCTAGCCTCAAACTCAATAAAAATCCACTTTCCTCTGCCTCCCAAGTGCTGAGATTAAAGGTGTGAGTCATGCTAGCTGCAGGCATGTTTCTTTAAAAAGCTTGTACTTAGGTAGATCTTGTGAATTCAAGGCCAACCTGGCCAACATAGTTCCAGGCCAGCCTGGACAACATACCGTGACCTTGTGTCAAAAACGAACATAAACAGGACATGGGCCGGGCATGCTGGCACTCAGGAGGCAGAGGCAGGTGGATCTCTGTGAGTTCAAGGCCAGCCTGGTCTACAGAGTGAGTTCCAGGACAGCTGGGGCTACAGGGAGATGGTCTCAAAAAGACCAAAAAAAAACTCCCAAAAAACAAAAAACAGGACATAGAAGTGTGCTGTAATCCCAGTACTAAGGCAGAGATGGGAGGATTGCTTCAAATTTAAGGCAAGCTTAGACTACATAAAGACCCTGACCCCCAAGAAAACAAAAAAGGCTGAATCTCTCCATGTGACTCAGGCTGGCCTATAATGTTGTCCCTATATGTAGGGATCCTCCTGCCTCAGACTGAGATTACAGGCATGTACCACCACCCAGCTGGAATGTCAGATTTTATGAGCTGATCATTAAGTGAAACATTCATTTGAGCTTACTCCTTTTATGGGTAATATGGATCCTTTTATCATTTGAATAAAATAATTTAGAATTGGTAAATCTTTTCATCATTAGATCCATGACCATTTCAATGTTGACTTAATTTTCCTTCCTCTACATTCAGAATATTGTGGCACTTTCTGTTATCCAAATGTGTCCCAGTCTCCTTACTTAAGGACTGTGGGTGAAAAGCTTCTACCTGGAATTGAAGTGCTTTGGACGGGTAAGTTCTTAAGAATTAATATGGTAGGACTGGAGGGATGGCTCAGCAGTTAAGAGCACTGACTGCTCTTGCAGAGGACCCGGGTTCAATTCCCAGCATCCGCATGGCGGCTGCGAACCGTCCTTACCTCCAGTTCCAGGGGAATCTGAAGCCCTCTCCTGACCTCACAACATGGGCGCACTCACATACATGCAGACAATACACTCATACACATAAAATTTGAAAAAAAAAAAAAAAAAGTCGGGCATGGTGCAGCACTCGGGAGGCAGAGGCAGGCAGATCTCTGTGAGTTTAAGGCCAGCCTGGTCTACATAGTGAGTTCCAGGACAGCTTGGGCTACAGGAAGACCCTGCTTAAAAAAAAAAAAAAAAAGAATATGGTAAAACTTTTATTACTGGGACTTAGAGAAAAATTGTTTTCTGTTAGTTGAAGCCTTTTGATTTTTTGAGACAGGGTTTCATGTATTTAAGACTGACCTGAAACTTGCTAGGTGCCTGATGATAACGTTCAACCTACTGCCTCCACCTCCCTGCTGGGAGTACAGGTTCATGCCAATATACCAATTTATGTGGTGCTGAGGCTCAAACCTAGGATTTTCCGTGTGCTAGCCACACCCCACCAACTGAACTGTACCGCCAACATCTTAGGAAATTTATGTTTTACAAAATAAGGAAATGAATAAAAGGACGTGTTGCAATATTAGTTTAAAAAGGAAAACTGAGGACTGGAAATAGGCTCAGTGGTTATGAGCTCTTGAAGAGGTCCTAGACTCAGTTCCCAGCACCCACACAGTGGATAACACCTGACCTTAATTCCAGTTTCAGGGGGTATCTGACCTCTGAGGGCACCAGGCATGCATTTGGTATACTTAAACACGCAGGCAAACCACTCATATGAGAAAAATAAAATCTTTTAAACAGAAAATTGAGCAGCTAATTCTAAATTTCAGTACTAGGGAAATAGACAGGAGTATCAGTTCAAGGCCAATCTCAGCCTTTACTACATGAGTCCTTGTCTCAGAAAAACAACAAAATGAACTGGTAAGATGGTTTAGAAGGTGAAGGTGCTTGCTGCCCACACAGTAGGCCCACATGGTGGAGAGAACTGACACCTGTATGTTGTCCTTTGACCTTTATAAACATGGCATGTATAACCCCCATAAATTAAAATATGTGGTAAGAAAAACATGAAAAAAAAGAAAAAAAAAAAGTCATGATGATACATGTCTATTATCCCAGCATTTGGGAGGCTACTTTGAAGTAGGAGGATCTTGAGATTGAAGCCAGCCGGAACCCACAGTGAGACCCTGTCTATAAATGAATAAATGAAGAGACGGAGGGTGGTGGTGGTGGTGGTGGTGGTGGTGGTGGTAGAGGTAGAGCACATCAGCTTACCATGCATGAGACCCTGCATTTGATTCCCATCATTGAGGGGGGTTGGAAGGACTTGTCAGATAGTCATTTCTCTCTTCATCATGTGGGGATCAAACTCATGTCATCAGGTTTGGAGATAAGCGCCTTTACCTGCTGAGCTATCTCCCAGCCCTTAATTTATTTTTAATTTTTATTACATATATTTGTGTGCGTGTATGTGTGTGTGAGAGACAGACAGACACAGATAGTATGTCTGAGTGCAGCATGTATCTGAAGGTCAGAAGATAACTTGTGAAAGGAGTCTTCTCTCCTTCCATTATGTGGGTCCTGGTGATTGAACTTGGGACTCAGTTGTCAGGCTTCGTTGGCAAGAACTTTTGCAGGATGAGCCATCTCAGCAGCTTTCCCACTCCTTATTTTATCCTTTTTTTTTTTTTTTTTTTTTGCCTTTTTGAGACAGGGTCTCCCTGTAACCCTAGCTAGTTGTTGGTCTTGATCTCACAGGAGATCTACTTGCCTCTCTGCTGGGAATGCTGGGACTAAAGGCTTGCATACCACATCCATCTTCTTAAATTTTTTTTATTACACTTACTGTGTATGTGCATCTAAGCATACATTGCATGCATTCTATGGCACACGTATGGAGGTCAGAGGACGACATTTGCGGATTGGTTCTCATACCATCCTGTGGGTCCTAGAAAAGTCAGTCGTCAGGCTTGGTGGCAAACACTGTTACCTGCTGAGCCATTTTGCCAGCCCTACAGTATATTTTAAAGAACCATGTAAGAAGTTCTTTTAACAAAGAGCTTTTTTAAACAAATTTCTAGGTCCCAAAGTTGTTTCTAAAGAAATTCCAGTAGAGTCTATTGAAGAAGTTTCTAAGATCATTAAAAGAGCTCCAGTGATCTGGGATAACATTCATGCTAATGATTATGATCAGAAGAGGTTGTTTCTGGGCCCCTACAAAGGAAGATCCACAGAGCTCATCCCACGGTTAAAGGGAGTCCTGACTAATCCAAATTGTGAATTTGAAGCCAATTATGTTGCTATCCACACCCTTGCCACTTGGTACAAATCGAACATGAATGGAGTGAGAAAAGACGTTGTAATGAGTAAGTATCATGTATTTGATGGTTTGCTTTGGGGAGAGGTGGTTGTACTGCACCATGTTCGGTTTATACATCTTCACTTGGAGGAAGCTTTTATAATCAAAATTTTTTTCCCTTTCCTTTTTTTTTTTTTTCCAGCTGACAGTGAGGACAGTACTGTATCCATACAGATAAAGTTAGAAAATGAAGGCAGTGATGAAGATATTGAAACTGATGTACTCTATAGTCCACAGATGGCTTTAAAGCTAGCTTTAACAGAATGGTTACAAGAATTTGGTGTACCTCATCAGTATAGCAGTGAGTTTGACTTTTGGGGTCAGGAGAAGGGGGAGGGTGCTGCTGCTGGGAATTTTAAAGATGTAAAATATTTTATAATTTTTATTTTATGTGTGTTTTGCCTGTGTGTATGTAAGTGCATCTGTGTTGTACAATGCTTGAGGAAGTCAGAAGATGGCTTTGAATTCCCCTGAACTGGAGTTATGGACAGTTGTTAGCTACGATGTGGGTGCTGAAAATCAAACCCAGGTCCTCTGCAAGAGCAATCATTGCTCTTAACTGCTGAGCTACCTCTCCAGCTGCTGCTGCTGGGAATTTACAGCCTCACATTCACATATATTAAGCCAGCAGTCTACTATTGAGCTATATTCCCAGTCTGCCAAGTTTTATTTATTAGTGTGCATATGCATTTTGTGTGTACTCATTTGCCTATGCATGTGGAAGCTAGAAGTCAACCTTAGATCTCATTCCTCAGAAGCCCTCTCTCTACCTTGGGTTTTGTTTTGCTTTTGTTGTTGTTGTTTTTTTAAATAGGGTCTCCTTTAGCCCAGGTGGGCCTGGAATATGACATGTAGCCAAGGATAAACTTGAATTTCTGATCCTCTTGCCTCCACCCCTCCCATTCCTGGGTTATAGGTCTGTGCTACCACATGGGCTTGGCCAGTTTTTATAAGTGAACTGGATTAAAGGTTGAATCACAACGTGTGTTGTCATGCCCCTTCTCTTAGGTCTACTAAGCAAAGTGAGATTTAGGTTGTTTTATCTTGAGATGGCATGTAGCCCAGCCTGGCTTAGAACTTGCTGTGTAAGCTAGGCATGGTGGCGCTTTTATCCCAGCAGAGAGGCAGGTGGATCTCTGAGTTCAAGGCCAGCTGGGGCTACAGGGAGGCCCTGTCTCAAAAAGATAAAAAAAAAAGAAAGGAAAAGAACTTGCTGTGTACCCAAGGATGTCCTTCAGCTCCTGATACTCTTGCCTTGCTTTCCAAGTATTAGGATTTTAGGCATATGCCACCATGCCCAACTTCTTTTGAGACAGGTCTTGCTATGTAGCTGTCTGGCCTGGTGCTCACTATGTAGCCCAGGCTGGCTTCAAACCTGCAACAGTCACCTGGCCTTGGCCCTCAAATGCTGAAATTAGAGATGTTTTCACTATGGTGGATTCTCACTATGTAGCCCTGACTGGCCTGGAACTTAAGAGAGCCATCTACCTGCCTCTGTCTCCCAGGTACGATTAAGGTTTTATTAACTTTTCTTTTTAATTATGTGTGTGTCTGTGTGTAGGTATGTGCATATATTAAGTGTAAATGCCCTTGGAGGACAGACCCTTTTGATCCCCTGGGGCTGGAGTTACAGGTGGTTGTAAGCTGCCTGATGCCTGCTGGGAACTGAACTTGGGTCATCTGCAAGAGTAGTTAGGCATTCTTAAAAGTCTAAAAATCTAATTTGCTCTGTTTCTAATTTTGATTATCTTTGTTTCTCTGCCCTCCCCTTGGTAGGTAGGCAAGTTGCACACAGTGGAGCTAAGTCAAGTGTAGTTGATGGGACTCCCTTAGTTGCAGCGCCCTCTTTAAATGCCACAACTGTAGTTACAACAGTTTACCAGGAGCCCATTATGAGCCAGGGAGCAGCTTTGAGTGGTGAACCTTCAGCTCTGACCAAGGAAGAAGAAAAGAAACAGTCAGATGAGGAACCCATGGACATGGTAGTAGAAAAACAAGAAGAATCAGACCACAAGAATGACAATCAAATATTAACGGAAATTGTTGAAGCTAAAATGGCAGAGGAATTGAAGCCAATGGACACTGATAAGGAGAGCATAGCTGAATCAAAATCCCCAGAGATGTCTATGCAAGAAGATTGCATCAGTGATATTGCTCCCATGCAGACTGATGAACAGACAAACAAGGAGCAGTTTGTGCCAGGTCCGAATGAAAAGCCTCTGTATACTGCAGAACCAGTAACCCTAGAGGACCTGCAGTTGCTTGCTGATCTCTTCTACCTTCCTTACGAGCATGGGCCCAAAGGAGCACAGATGTTACGGGAATTCCAGTGGCTTCGAGCAAATAGCAGTGTTGTCAGTGTCAATTGCAAAGGGAAAGACTCTGAAAAAGTGAGTATGCCTAGTGTCATATTGATGACACTAACAATGGATTTATTTATGCCTTTTTGAGATAGATTCTCACTTGTGTAGTTCAGGGTGGTCTCCAACTCATGGTATTCTTCCTGCCTCTGAATGTTGGGATTATGGGTGTGAGTCTTCTGAGTGTTGGAACTATAGATATGAGCCACCATGGCTGCCACAAAGGAGCATCTACTTGTGACAGGTGTGGTGGTTTCCGCCTGTAATCCAGTAACTGGAGGCGAGGATTTCAGGGATATTTTCCAGTACATAGTGAGTTTCATTCAAGCTAGCCTCAGTTACAGCCTGAGACCCTATCTCAAAACAACAACAAAGTCAAAAAAGAGTAATGGCCACTTAAAAGTTTTTCATTTTATTTTTATGAGTATGAGTGTTTTGCCTGCATGTATATAAGTGCATCTGTGTTGTATAGTGCCCACGGAGGGTGTCAGATCCTCTGGAACTGGTTAAGGACAGTTGTTAGCCCACATGTGGGTGTTACCTGGATCCTCTGGAAGAGGAGCCAGTGTTCTTTTTTTTAAAGACAGGCTCTCACTATGTAGCTCCAGTTGGCATGGAACTTGTCATGTAGACCATTCTAGGCTGACCTGGATCTCTCAATGACCTGTCTGCCTCTGCCTCCCCAAGTGCTGGAATTAAAGGCATGCACCATCCAGTGCTTTTTTTTTTTTTGGTCTTTGAGACAGTCTCCCTACAGCCCCAACTGCCTGGAACTCAGAGATCCACCTGTATCTGCCTCCCATCTCTCCAGCCCCTAGTGGCCACTTTTGATTTTTTCTTTTTCTACCTTCAGCCACTCTGCTGTGAGGAGATTCTTAAATGAGTACACTGGCAACCGGCAGAAAGTGGACTACGTTTTAGAATATGTTCTTTTAAGTAAAAGTGGATTTGCTTACATGTGTAGTGCCCTTAGTTTGACTTAGAAATGAAGGACGGTCAGTATTTTAGGCATACTTGTTTGGGGAGACACAAATTGCTTACCTAAACCTAATACCATTTATTCATTAATGTTGAAGGTAAATTGCAGAGAGCTGATAAACAGCTTAGTTCATAATTGTTTTATATTATTTTGTTAAACTTACAACATTTTTAGTTTTTTTAATTCATTTTTTTCTTAATCCCCAATAGATTGAAGAATGGCGGTCACGGGCAGCCAAGTTTGAAGAGATGTGTGGACTAGTGATGGGAATGTTCACTCGGCTCTCCAATTGTGCCAATAGGACAATTCTTTATGACATGTACTCCTATGTTTGGGATATCAAGAGTATAATGTCTATGGTGAAGTCTTTTGTACAGTGGTTAGGTAGGTGGACCAGAAATAACCTTATCTCTTCAAATATATTGTCCTTTAAAAAAATTATCCCGCAGGGAGAAAAACATTTATAGAATTGGCAAGTTTCCAAATCTCTTTCAGTTCTTTGCTTAGGTTTCTTTCAAATGTAAACATTGTTGAAAACTTGAGAAGTTTACATTGAGTGTGTTAATTTTTCTCCCTTGGGCTAATTCCTTAAATACCTTGAAAATATGTTAGAAAGTACTGACTTTAACATGCTCTGACTGAATGCTTCCTGGATGGAACCCTGTAATACTACTACATTTATACGACTACATTTACCTGATTTGGAGATGAGACTCTATGAAATGTGACTCTATAAGCTTTCTGCTGCTTGCTGTGTCTTGATAACATTAATGCTGTGTTTAATGGAACTACTGAAATTACCCAAGGGGCCTGGCAAGAGGAAGCCATCCTCCCAGCCCTGTGCGCATGCGAGCTTTAGTGAAAGGCTATTCTGGTGCTACTTGGTATTATTACTTCACATGGCTGTTTGTTTATCCTTCTACCAAGTAATTGATTTTAGCATGGGATAGAAATTAAAGTCCCCTAAAAACTGCTTTGTCCACTGGACTTTGTATGCCTCCTTTGAATTTTTTTCTTTCTTTCTGAAAATTCCCAAACTTGGTAAAAAAGCACCAGCATGGCCAAGTTTCTTTAGGGACCTCATTTCATTTCCAGGTTTTCAGTGCATCTATAAGGAATATGTAATGAACTTACAGCACACAGCAGGCAGCAAAGCTGACATGTCACAGTTTTCATAGTAGTCACAAATACTATATATGGGTCTCATGGTCTTAGTTATCAAATAGATGGTCTAAAATACTACTACTAGTATTTTAGTAGTAAGATGATTCATTTTCTGCCCATATACCTTTGGGTTGTTTATTTAAAAATAAACATCTCTGATTATTGATTTAAAATATGAAAAGAACTACCTTTGGGTTCTTGTGTATATTAGCACAACAGGTAGAATAGAATTTTTTAACCTGTTGTGGGTGGAAGACATCTCCTTTTTGGCTTAGGAAAAAAACCTGTATGTCGGATGACAGCATTTGCTTCCAGGCTTCTTGCCAAGGAGTTATAATTAATAATTAATCCTTATAGGGATTTACATCTTAAGTTTCTAAGGCTCATAGAAATTTTGAACTTGAAATCCAGATCATTGTTTGAGAATGTCACTCAAATATTTAATTCAAGGGTTCAATCCCCAGTATCTCACACACTCACATATACAAATTCAAGAATAACTGCAAGTTAAGTTTTTTATTATATCCACTTACCGTTCCTTTTTCTTCTTAAGCTCTCTCTTTATTATGCAGTTATACACAAATTTTCCCAATTTGTACTGTCTCAAGGTCAGAGTATCTTAGAAGTTTTAATCATCTTGGTATCCACATAGCTATATAAAAGCTCATGACAGGGCGAGTATCTTCATGACTATAGTAATTTCAGGGGCCCAATGATTAGAACCCTTTGTTCTCTTCCTTTCTCCAGTCCAGCTGGCATTCAGTCCTTTAAAGAATGTGGCTATGCAGTACTTTTGATTACTAACGACCTCTATTATCTTCTTCCCCATTGTGTACAGATGGGAGAATCCTCAGCACAAGTGTCTACTACTATTGGATGGACAGCGGCAGATGTTCACAGCGCGTCATGATTAATTAGTTTAAATTGAAAGGTTTTGTCTGAGGTAGCTCAGGTAGAATAAAGAGCAGTAGGCATGAACTGAAGTCACGTTTGCGCAGCGACTGAGGCATTAACCATGTTTTCATTTACACAGCTCTTCGTACATGCAGCATTTTTACTCTCGTAGTTGGAAGTGCTAGTTATGTTGTAGTCTCAAAGTGGAGGGTAGGGGAAATTGGCTGATCTTAAAGTTTGAGAAGTATAGTTTTTTTCCCTGCAGTGTAAATCACACTGAATTATGGAATGGGACAAGTTCTCACCCTAGTCTAAATTTCAACCCATTTCATGTTTATTTTACAAATAGTACATTTTATGGTTTTTGTTTTTTGTTTTTTAAATACCCCTACCCTTAAAACATGACAGACTCAGACGTGATCTCTTAATGGGCCTGAATTGTCAATAAAAAAAATTTGGTTTGCTTTGGGACTGTCCGACTAGCACACTATATCTTGTACTGATGAGACTGTTAACTTGAACAGGAGGTAGAATGCTGTCTTCCAATGGAAAAGAACTATATTGCGCTGCTATATCTTGTCAGAAGACTTTTTGTTTGGTTTCCAAACACTTGCCCTTATTCATTTCTTAATTGTCAGCTTTATTACTATGAGGTTGGTTACGTGGTGACCTTAAAAACTGCCATTTGGGCCTCAAAGCCCACTCTTTGATACATGTGCTCATTGCATGGCAGAGATTATAATGACGAGTAGAGGAAACAGATGCAGTCATACTTTTAAGAAAAGTATGTTTAGCTCTAGACAATTTAGGAGCATTAATTGGCTCTTCCTAGTTCTTAAAAATTGTCAGATTGGTATTCTAATTGGCGACGTCTGCACTTCTTGTCCTTATCCACAAACAAATTTGTCACTGTGTTTCAGTTTTGTCAACTTAACAGTATTCTGATGATCTTAAGTTTTCTGACAAGATTACCCTCCCCTCTTTTCCCTCTTCCTGTACCCTCTTCAAAATGTAAAATGTGACTTCAGACAGGCTTAATTCAGTTCCTCATGGGCTGTGATAATAAAATATCTCATCTGTCTCATTCATTTCAGTTTATAGTTCTATAATTTCATGATCAATCAAGCGGCTGACTTGATTTATATGCTGTATCTAGGGAATATAGAAACTTCACTAAGATAACCTCAAGACTTACTTTCCTTCCAATAATTAAGAGTAGAGCTGGTAACTGATTTTCATTAATGGGAGGAAAGAATATAAGTATTGAAATGTCAGTATAAATTTTTAAAAATAATTATTATCACAGCCTTGCTTTGAAACTCTGGATTATTATTGTTAGAGAGTTATTTCCACAAAGTGTTTGTTAGTGTTTTGGACATTTGAGACCCCAGGATATCCCCTTTCTCGTAACGTTCTCCGCTTGGATCTGATCTCAACAGGGTGTCGTAGTCATTCTTCAGCACAATTCTTAATTGGAGACCAAGAACCCTGGGCCTTTAGAGGTGGTCTAGCAGGAGAGTTCCAGGTATCAATATGAATTCACAACTGAATTGACATTTTTCTTTGTTTTATGAGAAACCTTATGTTGCGCATCAGATGGCTGGAAGGATTGGTCTGCCGAAGGCTTTCTAGTCCCAAATTCAATTTAGTTACATAGCTGGATTTTAAATCAAATTTTCCTCCTCTTTCACAGTAATTTCTGAAGGAGATGCTGCCAATCCCCCTCGCGCCTGCGAAGCGCAGCGGCTCTAGGTATACACTTCACATTGTTTCTTTGCAGGTCGCACAGCATTTAAATCTGCGCCCGCAATGCACAATGCGCGCATGCTTGTCTACCAGTGGAAACTCCATGAGCAAAAAGGATGGCTAATTATGCAAATGAATGATAAAAGGCTTAAAGGGTAGTGTCAGTTTATGAAAGTATGCTCAAAAAATCCTGTGCTAGCGAGAATCTAAAAAAAATACTGTTTTTGCTGTTGGAATTTGTTCATGGACTTTTCAGGTGCTCTACTTTTCTCCCCCCCAACAGGTGCTCTGCTGCGCACAGCAAACTGAAGCGCATTGCTTTGGGGATAAAGCGTCTCCTGGACAGATAACCCTCTTCAGACCAAACCTCTCCTCCTGACATTCTATTCTGCCATCTTATAGTAGAAAGATGGTTTATTTAAGATTGGTTTTTTAAAAAACATATATGTCATAATTGGAATAGTTTTTTGTTGGTGTTTTTATTATAGATTTAAATTTCTGTTAATATGCCATTAAAGCTGTGTAAGTCAGTTTGGGTAATTTGTATTCAGAAACAATCCTCCCCCAGCAAAGGTAATTATATTAGTAAAGTGTAGTGCACCCCTCTTCCTTAGGTCTACCTGCAGTAGCCAGTTAATGTTAAGTTGGTAATCTGCAGTGCACACTCATTTAAGGAAATTGATGTCTTAACACTGATGCATCTCCCTTTTTTTCCTTCCTACAGCGTTTGCTGCCAATTGATGGAGCAAATGATCTCTTTTTTCAACCACCCCCACTGACTCCTACTTCCAAAGTTTATACTATCAGACCTTACTTTCCTAAAGATGAGGTAATTTTCTGCCTATCAACGTGGTGTATGGTTATGTGCACACTTACGACCTTCCTTTGAATTAGCTAGTTGAATTTCTTAGCTCTGTCTTAGTACTTTATTTACAGTATTAGGGATCAAACCCAGGCTGATGTTGAGCTACATGTTTGTGTTAGCCAGCCTTCTATTGCTATGGCAAAATACCCAAGAAAATCAACTTAAAGGAGGAATGGGTTTGTTTTTATTCATGGTTTCAATTTGTGGTCAGCTGACTCCATTGCTTTTGGGCCTGGTGTATGGCAGTAGGTCATGGTGCGATGGCATAGCAGAGGAACGCCGCTCACCTCATGACTGCCGGAAAGTACAGTCAGGGCTAAACTATCCTTCAAAAGCATACCCCCTACTTCCTCCAACAAGCCCTCGCCTCCTAGATTTTCTGCCATCACCCTAGCCCCATCATCTGGAGACCAAGCTTTCAACATACAACCTTTAGGGGGACATTGCAGGTGAAAATGGTAACAACTCCCAGTCCTTAAAAATACCAGTTTTAGCCAGGTGTGGTAGTGCACGCCTAATCTCTGTGAGTTCAAGGCTAACCTGGTCTACATAGTTCCAGGCCAACTGGGGCTACAGAGAGACCCTGTCTCAAAAAGACAAATAATTCCAGTTTTAGCCTGGCCTGCTGACAGCCATCTGTAACTCCAAGGGGATAGGAATGCCCTCCTCTGGCCTCCATAGGTACTGTATGCACATGGTATATGTAGGCAAAATACTCAATATACATAAAAATACCCCCCCCCCAATTTAGATATTTTGAAAAGTACAATAAATAAATGGTCAAATTCAGAATTGGAATTAGTGAGACTGTTGTCTTGGGAAAAAAAAAAGCTGAGACTCAAGTTCACTGGCTTCTCATTCCACAGTTTACTTTCAAAACTCACCTTATGTGCATGCCTTTAATCCCAGCAGTCTCTGTGAGATTGAGGCCAGCCTGGCCTACATGGTGAGTTCCAGACCACTTGGGGCTATAGGGAGACCCTGTCTAAAAAAACCATTTCCTGTAAAAGCTGTCGGTGTTTGCTAACATGCTGTTTCTGACTGGTTTTACAACCGTAACCCAATGAATAAAATTTTAGTGCTAGGGCTCAAACCTAGGGCTTTGCATTTGCTAGGTAAGTGCTGTACCACTGAGCTATATGTCTAGCCCAGTGAAGCAGTGGTGGTCTTTTTAATTTTTGTTTCCCCAGAGGTGATATTTCTGATAAGCCACACATTTTGTTACTCCCTCCCCAAATTTATGGGTTTTTAAATTCTTTTGGGTCTTTTTGCAAGAGGGTCTCCCTGTAGCCCCAGTTGGCCTGGAGCTCAGAGATCCACCTGCCTCTGCCTCTGCCTCCGCCTCCCAAGTGCTGGTACTACAGGTGTGCACCACCATGCCTGGCTTTTTTTTTTTTTTAAAGAATGTGGCCCAATGTTGTCTCAAACTCCGTATGTGACTCAGGCTGGACTATAATTCACAATCTTCTGCCTCAGCCTCCCAAGTGCTAGGATTATGTACCACCACACATGCTGCTAACATACTATTTCATTCTTCTGGCCTTTTTTTTTCTTGATGTGTTCTCTAACTAGATTGTATTTTCAGGCTTCCGTGTACAAGATTTGCAGAGAAATGTATGATGATGGCGTGGGTTTACCTTTTCAAAGTCAGCCTGACCTTATTGGAGACAAGTATGTAATGACTGTTTGGTTTGGGAAGTAGACTTGCCAAGCTCATCAGGTTGAGGGGGGAGGTGTTGAAACAAAAAAAACCCTTGTTTATATTTATAAACTCCAGTTTAGTCTTGGTAAACTCTGAAAATGAGTGTGTATATTTCCAGTTTCTTTTACACCAGTGGTACTTTCTCTAATACTAGTGGTAGTTTCTCTCAAGTTATCGTTGAAGTACCTTGTATCACTGAATTGGGAATTTTGTCAGTAATTTAAAGCTTATTCTAGTTTCTTTCTTCTGAGCAGGTTAGTAGGAGGACTGCTTTCCCTAAGCCTGGATTACTGTTTTGTCCTAGAAGATGAAGATGGCATATGTGGTTATGCCTTGGGCACTGTAGATGTGACCCCTTTCATTAAAAAATGTAAAATTTCCTGGATTCCCTTCATGCAGGAGAAGTACACCAAGCCAAATGGTGACAAAGAACTCTCAGAGGCTGAGGTAATACATTGGTTTAGAATTACACTGAATTTTTTTTTTTCCTTTCATAAAATTGTTACAATCTGTAAACAGATTGTTTCTGTGCTGCTAGTGTTTGAACAGATGCCTTAGTGTGATCTACTTCCAGCTGTAATCTCGGTGCTTTTGGTTTAGATAGGGGCTCATGTAGGGTATGCTGTTATTGAGCTCCTGATCTCCTGCCTCCACCTCCCATGTGTTGCGATTACAGGTATGACCCACATGCTCAGCTATTTTTTTTTTTTTTTTTGCTGTGCTTAGGATTTGCACTTGAGACCCCGTGCATACTAGGCAAGTGCTCTATCAACATCTGCAGCTCAAATAACACACTTGTTTTGAAGGGAAATCCAGGATTTTTTAATTCTTTTTCTTTGCATTATAGGAAACTGAAGTCAGGGTTCATGCATATTTTCTACCACTGAGCTACATTTCCAGTTCCTATTAGAAAGTATTTTTTGTGTATGTATAGTAAAATAGAGAAAATACAAAATTTACCTTAACAATTAAATAATTTGTAAATTTCTAGGAAAATTATATTAATAAAGAGTTCTTCTAGCCAGGCATGGTGACGCAGGCCTTTAATCCCAGCACTTGGGAGGCAGACGCAGGAGGATTTCTGAGCTCCAGGCCAGCCTGGTCTACATAGTGAGTTCATGGCCAGCTGGGGCTTCAGGGAGACCCTGTCTCAAAAAAAAAAAGTTCTTCTATGCCTTGACCCATTTTCAACATTTGTCGAGCCCAAGAAACCAATTAATAACGAAATTTTAAACTTTATTCACCAATTTTCTCACCAATAGCTTTTCTCTGTTGTGATGCCTAATCCAAAATATCACATTGAATACTTAATTTAATACTTGAATTAATGTCTTTTTGAGAAAGGGTCTCTCTGTAGCCTCAGCTGGCCTGGAACTTGCAAAGATCCTGCCTCTGCCTCCCAAGTGCTGGGATTAAAGGCATGTGCCACTACACCTGGTTTTTTTTTTGTTTTTTTTTTTTTAGAATGGGATCTCACTTTGTTATATTGCCCAGGCTAGCTTTGAACTTATAAACTCAACACATCTTCCTGTCTCAGCCTTCTAAATAACTGGGACTTAAAGGGCACATCCTCCAGCCTGGCTTAGATTTTATTTTTTTTAAATTTTACGTGTATTTAGTGTATTGCCTGCATGTATGTTATGTTCAACTGTGTCATGCAAGCAGTGCCCGAGGAGGTCAGAAGAGGGCATCAGATCCCCTAGAACCTGGAGTTACAGACCCTTGTTAGCTGCCATGTGGGTGCTGGGAATTGAACCTGGCAAGAACAGCCAGTGCTCTTAATTGCTGAGCCATCTCTCCAGCCCCAGATTTTTTTTTTCTTTTTTTTTTTTTTGAGACAGGGTCTCACTCACTCAGAGGTCTGCCTGCCTCTGCCTCCCTAGTGCTGGGATTAAAGGTGTGCGCCATGTATATGTTGTTGAGGATTGAGCCTATAGCCTCAGACATGCCAAGCAAGTGTTTTATCACTGCTTACATCTTTTTTTTTTTTTTTAACATTTGAGACAGGGTCTCCCTATTTAGCCCTGGTTGGCCGGCATCTTGGAACTTGCTATGTGTGGACCAGGCTGACCTTAAACTTACAGCAGTCTGGCATTGGACATGCACAGCCATGCCTGCTTCTAAACAGTTTTAGGGCTGGAAAGATGGCTCAATGGTTAAAAGTCCATACTGCTCTTCCAGAGAACCAGAGTTAAATACCTAGCATCCACATCAAGTGGCTCACAACTGCCTGTAACTCCAGCTCCAGGGAATCTAAACCTTTGGCCTCTGCAGGCACCTGCACAGATGATATGTACAGCAATCCTCCCCCTACACACATAAGTAAAAATTAAATATTTAAAATAAACCTCTAAAAAGTATTTGTATAGGTGGGGAATGGGGGTGCACATATGTGCATGCATGGAGGCCTGGAAAGGATACTGGTGTCCTCTGAAACTCTCCACTTACTTCTTTGAGGCAAGGCCTCTCCCTCAGCTAGGTTGGATGCCAGCCAGCAACCTGTATTAGTCCTGTCTTCACTCACCTCAGAGCTGGGTTTATAGATGTGCCAGATGTCTAGTTTGTTATGTGGCTACTAGGATCCTGAACTGTGGTTGCATGACTGTACAGCAAGTGCTCTTAATTGCTGAGCCATCTCTCTAGCTCTTTAGTTTTTTAAAATGAAAATGTTTCAGCAAAAATTGTAAACTTAAGTATTCTCTGTATACTTGAAAAGTTATAAATACCGCTTTCCCTTTTTCTGTTGCTGAGATCTGGGATATAGATGTATAACAAGTAACTACTGAAAGTCAAAAAGATTGTAATTTTTGCAGAAAATAATGTTGAGTTTCCATGAAGAACAAGAAGTGTTGCCAGAAACTTTCCTTGCCAACTTCCCTTCTCTGATAAAGATGGATATTCACAAAAAAGTAACTGACCCAAGTGTGGCCAAAAGCATGATGGCTTGCCTCCTTTCTTCACTGAAGGCTAATGGTGAGTACATGTTGTAGAGTTGGTATCATTTGGGCAAGATACATTTTTATTGGGTGCATGTGTATGGGTGTGTGCCACAGCATGCATGGCAATCAGAGGACAACTTGTGGGAGTCAGTTCTCATCTTGCACCATGTGACTCCTAGGGCTTGAACCAGGGTAACAAGACTTGGCAGCCAGTGCCTTTACTAACTCAGCCTTCTTGCTTGGCTGTGTACTTTAGCCTTTTGTGACAAAGTCTTGCTATATGTAGCTTTGGCTGGTCTAGAACTCCACAATCTTTCTGCTTCAGCTCTGAGTGCTAGAATTACTTGGAAGTGTGATTAAAAAGGAAAGAAAGCTATGACTGGTGGCTCATACTTTTAATCCCAGCACTCAAGAAACTGAGGCTGGTCTGGGCATGGTAGCACATGCCTTTAATTCCAGCACTTTGGAGGCAGAGGTAGGAGGATCTCTGTGCGTTCAAGGCCAGCCAGGGCTACATAGTAAGACCCCATCGAGCAAGTGAGCTTTAAGTCCCATGCCACCTGGACTACATAATGAAACCTTCTCAAAGAAGGGAGAGAGGCGGAATGGCTCAGCAGATAAAGGTACTTGTAGCCTAAGGATACAAGCATGGCAACTCTGAGCTCAGTCCCTGGGACCCACATTAAGGTGGAAGGAGAGAATGTACTCCAAAGTTGTCCTCTAACCTCCACATGGTACACCCAAGTGCATGTGCCTCTTTGTCCACATCATGTGTGCTGACATACACACATACAAAGTAGGGCAAAGAAGTTTAATTGACAGGTTTTTTTTGTTTTGTTTTTTTTAAATTCTCGTGGGTGGGTGGGCAGAGGACAACTATATTGCCCAGACTGCCCTTAGATTCTTGGGCTGAAGCAATCTTCCTGTCTTACCCTCTTGAGTAGCTGGGTCTCTGTGCCTGGATTATTGCTTTTATTTTTTTTTTGAGTTATTATTAATGTGATAGTTCCATATGTATTGATCATTGGAAAATGATGTTCTTTTATACTGTGAACACTTATTTTGGGCCCCAGATGAATGAGAAGTGAACACATGAGGTGTTACATTTATTTTGCTGACAGGCTCATAAATAATGACTGAAAATTAAATGAACCTAATGAAGAAACTTCATTTAGGAATTATTTTTTCTTTTTCTTTTTTTTTTTTCTTAAGGCAGGGACTCGCTATATAGCCCTAGCTGGTCTGGAACTCACTTTGTAGACTAGGCTAGCCTCTAGGAATGCAACTTTTGTTTGAAATTTGTTACTTAAGTTCAGCCTTAAAAGTATCTTGTTTTGCTATTAGTGCTATAAATTTTTTTTTGTAAAGGGTATAATTTAGTGTATATACATATATATATAATTTAATTTTAAATCAATCCTTAGAAAAATGTAATAACAAATCTTAAGGCTAAGCATTGCAGTGGTACACACCTGTAATCCCAAAATTTTGAAGACTGAGGTAAGACAGCTCTGAGATTGAGACCAGCCTGGTCTATGTAGTGAATTTCAGGCCAAGCCAGGTGGGGCTACAGGGAGACCATCTCAAAACAAAAACAAATTTTAGTCCTTGACCCATAGAAAAGTAAGTAGTTTGTGAAGCTCTTATTAGAATTGTAGACATTTTTTTTTTTCTGTCTTTTTTGAGATAGGGTCTCCCTGTAGCCCCAGCTGTCCTGGAACTCACTATGTAGACAAGCTGGCCTTGAACTCACAGAAATCCACCTGCCTCTGCCTCCCGAGTGCTGGGATTAAAGGTGTGTGTCACCATGCCCGGCTTTGTTTGTATTTTTGCACCATAGGGGATTGAACCTATGGCCTCACTAGAGCTATAGCCCTAGTTTTTGCTTTTTTATTTTATGTGTATGCGTGTATTGCCTTCATGTAGGTAAGCACACCTGTGTTGTGCAATGCCCGTGGAGGACAGAAGAGGCTGTGAGATCCACTGGAACTGGAATTACAGACAGTTGTTAGCTGCCATGTGGGTGCTGGGATTCAACCTAGTTCTTTTAATTTTTACTTATTTTGAGACAGGGTTTTGGTAAGGCTAGCCTTGCAATCGAATGATAGCCCATGCAGTCCTTGAGCTTGTGATCCTCCTACCTGAGCCTCCTAAGTAACTGGGATTACAACTCTTGTCACCAGGTCTGGCAAAAGAATTGTTGATACTTAAGAGTGTACTTTTTTTCTTTTTGGTCTTTTTTGTCCACTTTGTAGAATAGTCTAAAAGGATAATTTTGAGTGTGCACCTAGAACTGAATCACACAGTGTTAATCTTTTTATTGTTTTTAAAATATTAATAGTTTTATGTGTATGCATGTATTGCCTTCATGTAAGTGCGCCCATGTCGTGTAATGCCTACAGAGGACAGAAGAGACTGTTGGATCCCCTGCAATTGGAGTTATGGACAGTTGTTAGCTGCCATGTGGGTTCTGGGATTTGAACTGGGGTCTTTTGCAAGAACAGTATTCTTAACCACTGAGCCATCTCTCCGGCCCCTAAATATATCTTAAGAATATTCATGGGGAGCCAGAGAGATGGCTCAGCAGTTAAGAACATTGGCTGCTATTGCAAAGGACCTAGGTTCAGTTCCCAGCACCCACATGGCAGTTAACTGTCTATAACTCCAATTCCAGGGGATCCAACGCCCTCTTCTGGCCTCTGCAGTCATCACATGCATTTGGTATACTTCTATACATGTAGGCAAAACACTGATACACATACCACATACATGGGAAGGTACATGTACCCCCACCAACACAGGATAAATAATTTTTAAAAATAATATTCAGCATCATGGGGCTAGAGAGATGCCTCAGCCATTAAGAGCACTGACTACTCTTGCAGAAGACCCGGGTTCGATTCCCAGCACCCACGTGGTGGCTAAAAACCGTCCTTAACTCCAGTTCCAGGGGAATCGGAAGCCCTCTTCTGACCTCCACAGCATTGCACGACACGGGTGCACTCACATACATGCAGGCAACACACTTATACACATTTAAAAAAAAAAAAAAATCAGCATTCTCTAGAATCTATTATTGGCTTATAACAAAGACTGGAATATTCTCTGCTCTGTGGAACCTTAGAGATACCTTGTGTTTTTCTTTTGGGGGGGTCTTTTTGAGACAGGGTCTCCCTGTAGCCCCAGCTCACTTAGAACTTGGTGTGTAGACAAGGGTAGCTTTGAACTCAAGAGATCTGCCTGCCTCTGCCTCCTGAGTACTGGGTGGGATTAAAGGTGCGCAGCACCACGCCTGGCATGGTACCATGTAGGTTTTGAACATGAGTGTCCTTTATCTTAAATACCCTGTTCCTCAAAGGATTTTCTTCTGGGGGTAAAAATCTTAACTGTTTTTGTCTGGTTGGTTGGTGGTTTAGTTGGCTTTTGATACAGCCCTGGCTGGCCTGGAACTTGCTGTATAGACCAGGCTGACCTCAAACTCCCAGAGATCTGCCTACATCTACCTCCGGAGTGCTGGGGTTAAAGATGTGCACCACCATCCCCGGCTTCAAGTTAGAGGACTCAAATAAAAAAAATTGAGCTGGGATTATAGTCTACCCAGAGGTAGAGCACTAGCCTACCATGTGAGGCCCTTGGTTCAGTTCCCTGGTACCACATACACACAAAAATTGTGATATGAAATTTGGGGATTCATAAAGCCTGTTGTATCTATATTAAAGATAACTCATAATTTATGTCTATGTTTAATGACATTTCTTTTATTTCTAGGCTCCCGGGGGGCTTTCTGTGAAGTGAGACCAGATGATAAAAGAATTCTGGAATTTTACAGCAAGTTAGGGTGTTTTGAAATTGCAAAGATGGAAGGATTTCCAAAGGATGTGGTTATACTTGGTCGAAGCCTGTGACATTTGTTGGTACTGAACTGTCTAAAAGTCTCATCTCCACCTTGTGGTTGGCAGTTGAGGTCTTCAACACAGTTCAGTCTCTGGAATGGCAGCAAATCAGCCAGTTGAATTGTACACAAAGGCGGCTATGTAAAACTCACCCATCATAATTTCAGACTACTCACTGGTTGGAAGAAGATAGTACTGTTGCAAATCCTGTGTGAAACAGATATGTGTCCCCTTTTGGGTCTTGTGTTAGGTGCCAAGACTTTGCACATGGGGTTATAGAGGAAGAGGTTTTACAATAAATGTAGTCAGCACTATTTTCTGCATCCAGTGTGGCTGCATTTCTCAAGAGTAATGAAGATCACTCTTGTTATCCTCCATGGTGTACTGAATGAAATGTCGCTTATTCTTTGGAGACATGGCAGAGATGAGAAAGATTCAGTGGGTTTCAGAGGCTTGAGGGTGGGTTTTCCAAGTGGCATGGCTATGGCATTAGCTTAAGTTGAATAAATTATTTCAATTTGGGACAATTTTTCTGCTTTTCATAAAGCCATGGCCAACTATCTCCTATAGTGACCCTTGGTTTCAGGCATGTTGTGCTTTGTAGGGACAAATGTGCATTTGTTTGTGGCAAAGGCCTAAACTGACAAACTTGTAAATTTCTATGTATATAGATTAGTTGTAACCTGATGTTTTTGTATTTTTTTTTTCCTTTTGAAAACGAAAAGTGTTGGTTTAGGATGGGACTTTCAATAATGTAAATCAGTAAACAGTAATTTTTTTTTTCTTCCTAAAAAGTTCAATTTTAAAGCGCCTCCCACATAGGGATAGGCCAGGACTATTTTGGGTATGAGCACCTAACTTCATGATGACTCAAATCTGTTGGAAAGTGCAGTTACTTCTGGAAATTAACTTCAATAGCAGATCTGCATGTGAAATGTTAGTTTTGACATCTTTGTCAAGTAGTAAGGGGACTGTCAATCTCATTTGCCCTTAGATCATCGGTCATTTAATCTCAAGACCTGTTATTACTGGTTTAATTGAATCGGTCTTTAATTCTTGCATGTTTGTATCTAATTTTTAAAAATATATGTTAACCAATGATTTATGGCTACTTTCATTTAATCATAGTTATGAAAACATGTATTTTGATTTGGTGTATTTAAGGGTTTTGAGCATGAAGCTGGCAGATAGTCTCTGCAGGATTTTTTTTTTTCCATCATGGCCTAACTTTTAACTTCTCCATAGATTTACAGCAGTATTTTGTTATCTTGCTTCCTTCCAGTTTTGCATCAGCTTTCAAACTTTGAGCTGAGTGAGGGGAGAGACGAAAAGGAAGCTTGAAATATTTTCCTTCATAGAACTCCACCTGTGTGAACTTTGAGACAGTCTTAAATGTAGCACTAGTACCTAGTGACTTCCACCTGAGGCCTAGGAGTGTTTGCTGAATGAGGAAAGAAGCCTCTTAAGGGTAAAAATCTTTTAACTGTGATAGGGTGTGATGTGTTGGAAAGCTGAAATCAATTTGTTTTTGAGGGTTGAGGTGAAGGGAAAATGTTACTTCATATTAAGACCATTAAATGGTACTCAGCTTTCTCTTTGAAAACATCCCATGCACTAGTGGACAGTTATATTTTATGTGGAGGATTTCGGAGTCAACTTCATATGAAATCAGGAATTTGAAACAAGTTGCTTTTGGTTTTATCTTTTAATAATAACTTTGGATGATCTTCTGGGCACACATGTTAACTGTGAAACAATGTCCAGGTCTGTACCTTCATTACGATCAAGTGTTATGCTATCTTCCATGGTTATGAATATTTATTAAGGTTGGAATGATATTTCATTGATGGTTTGGATCACAACTCACGTTCCTGTAGAAAACGAACTACATGTAAAACTATCTGAAGACCATACAAGAGGCGAAATAAAACGAAGTGAATTTGAATTTGTGCTACCTTTTAATACCTCATTTTAAGCTGGTATTACTCCGCAGCTGTTCATGTTAGACCTTGAAGGCAGCCCTCCTCTCCTCCCTTCCCAGCAAAGAACTCCCAGATTTTCCTCAGAAAAGTGCTACAGTACAGGAGTTGGTATGCCAAACCCGGGATGGAGACTCGGGGGCGCGGGGTAGTAGCCCAAGTTATGAGAGGTGTTCCTCTTCCACAGCTGTTAGGACTCCACAACAGGAAGCTCCCTGGCTGACTGGAGAGTAGAAGCTGAAGTGTGGCTCTGCTAGGCGCAGTACTAAAACGCAGCTCTGAGCGGACTAGTCCTGGACCTACCAAGCCTCTAGAGAGGAAGATCCCTGACGCAACAGGTCGCAATCTTAAGGGCAGGCCATCCAATAGGACAGGGTGTGGGTGGAAATTCCGGCCCTGAGAGTCTTTAGGCGAGCGCCAAAGTAAAAATAGCTTCTGAGCCCCGAGTTTGCTGGGAGAAGCAGGAAAGGTTTGTATTTACCTGTACCCCCTTTACCAAAAGTTTACCTCAGGTTGGAAGAAAGGGGTTCAGTCAGGGCGACTAGCTGAAAAAGAGGCCCTTCCAGGCCGTGAGGAAGAACGAACGTCGACACAGGGCCAGTTCCAAGCTTGCGTGAAGCTCATTTCATCTCTGTCGGGACGAAGCCGCAGGCTCTAGAGAGAAGCTCAACAGGCGCGGCGGTTCGCGAGTCTCGGGGCTCCACGCGGCGCCTTTAATGGGCGTGCCCGGAACTGGCGGAGGTGCCACGCACATTGCGTGGGGGGGCGGGGCTTCAACGGCCGTTTCAGCATGGCCGCCGGCACTGCTGCAGCTTTAGCGTTCCTGAGTCAAGAAGGCCGTTCCCGCGCCGGGGGCGTCGGGGGCCTGCGGATTCCCGGGCCGGTCACTATGGACAGTTTCTTCTTTGGTATTGAAGACAGGAAGGGCTGCGGGGGGAGAGGAAGGGCCGAGGAGCGCGGCGGGGCGACGTGGGTGTGGGCCGAGGGGTCCTCGCTCTAAGGAAAGGCGTCTTCCGCGGCCTATACGGCTCGGGCCGCGCCGAGTGCAGGACGCTGCCGGGGCGGTACGTCCAGGTGTGAGGAACAGATGCTAGGCGAGTAGATGGCCGGTTTGCCCGCGGTGGCACTTGACCTGTGGGAGGGGACGCCGGGGCGATTGAAACACCCTTGTCCGCTTTCCCTTCGGCGCGCTTATCCGCACGGGAACGCCATGGCTTTTCCAGGTTGTGAGCTCTCCGGCCACACCCGTTCCTTCACCTTCAAGGTTGAGGAAGAGGATGATACAGAACACATGCTGGCGTTGAACATGGTGAGGGGCAGGAGACGGAGGTTGGCGATGCATGAACTCCTGCAGGGGACTGGTGGGCCTCTTTGACCTTCTTCCCATTTTGGGGAGTCATTTCTGCCTATTCTGGGAAGGGAGGCTCTCCCTTGCTGTGGAACCCCTGAGACTGGGCAAGTTCAAGGGTAAGATGCCTTCACTTATGTCAGACCCTATATGAGACCCTGAAGCCCTGTATGCCCTTCCCAGCTGTGCCTTACTGAGGGGGCCAAGGACGAGTGTAATGTGGTGGAAGTTGTGGCCCGGAATCATGACAACCAGGAGATTGCAGTTCCTGTGGCCAACCTAAGGTTGTCTTGCCAGCCCATGGTAAGTTCCCCCAGCCTCGTCTGTCTTGGAGTGGGGACTGAGACCTACAGCACTAATCACAAGATGGGTTGTGGTTAGTACACAGGTGTGGCTCAGGTCTTCACCTATTTCTTCTTCCCAGCTCTGTCTGGATGATTTCCAGCTCCAGCCACCTGTAACCTTCCGCCTGAAGTCTGGTTCTGGTCCTGTGTGCATCACTGGTCGACATCAGATTGGTGAGATGAGTGAGCCCCTTCCTTTGCCCGTAGTGGATTCTCAGCAAGCCTCCCCTAGCTCCACACTCCTTGCTCATACCAGCCTCATCTTCCAGTGTAACCTACATGCCTACAGTGTCTTTCACTGTACTCCTCAAGCCTAGTCACTTCCTGTTACCTGTCTCAGTTACCCCAGCTCTAGTGATGTGGACTCCTTTGGTTTTCTCATCTAGTTCAGTATCCGAGGGTTCTTCCCTCCTAGGCTGTAAACTCTGGGAGGTCAGGTTCCCTGTTAGCCTAGCACAACAGGGCATGAAGTGACATGTCAAGGGAATGATGTTTGACTTTAACCTTCTGCCTCTACCACTTGTGTACCCACCAGTTAGTATAAGCAATGATTTTTCTGAAGAAGAGGAGAGTGAGGAAGAGGAAAGTGAAGAGGAAGTTAAGTTGTGCCCCATCCTTCCTGCCAAAAAGCATGGGGGAAGGCGCTAGCTCTTTTTGGTGAGTGGAAGAGGGGTTGGCAGCAGGATCTTAGAAGGGCTAGGGGAGCCCATGAGAGCCTAGATACTGACTTCTCATTTGATTTTCTCAGGTCAGATCGCTGCCTGCTACAGGCGCCTTGCACCATATGTCCTGGACAAGTTTCAAGAATTGTAAATGTTTTTCTCCGTTGAAGAGGAGAGTTTGGGAAAGGGATGGCGGGAGGGACTTGGGCCTGTGCTAGGAGAGAAGAGGGCATTCTCTATTGGGGCCTGGTGTTGTGGTCCATCCTACATACCCTGCCTGAGGCTGCCCTCTATATAGGGATGGATGACCCTGAACATCATTCCCCATCTGCCCAGATTGAAATTTGTGAACCCCTAGGTTCAGTTCTTAGCACTGCGCACACAAAAAAGTATCTGAAGTTCAGAACAACACATTTTTAACACTTTTTACATTTTTTTAGATAAAAGTTTAAATAAAGTGGTGTGTTTTTGTTTTGTTTTGGTTTTTTTTTGGCAATTGTGTGGCTTTTTCCCATGCAGGAGTGACATATCCCTAGGGACCACCAGGTGGCACTGTGGCAATGCCAAAGGGTGGTCCTAGGCCCAAGGTGGGTGCAGAAAATCCTGTTCCTCAGGACCTTGGGCCCAGAACCAGTCCTATGTCCCTCTGCACAAGGCAGACCTCCCATTCCAGCCTGTTCCAAGCCCCTGCAGGTGGGGGAGGGCCATTGCAGGAGGTTATCAGCTTCCAAACAAGGGGTCTGGGCCTCTGTCAGCACTCAGGCTGATGGGCAGGGGGGCAGATAAGCCAGGCTTAAGAAGCCTGAGGAATGTGCATCCCCAGCCCCATGAGGGGGCTCAGCCTGGGGAAAGGGACTGAGGGGTGGGGTGTGGGACTAGTCTTTGGGCCTCCTTTGGTCTTTCAGGCAGGTTGAGTGGATCAGTGCCCTTAGAAACCTGATTCCCAGAGCCAGATGGAGGGAACTGGCCAGATTGGGTGACAGGGAAACCAGAATCCGGGTGGCCTGGCATATGGGAGCAGAAAGGAGCCCCTGGGAATCAGCCTCCTGGGCTAAGGGGTTCCTGCCCCCAGTAGACAGCTTAGTGTGGGGTGTCTCAGGTCTGGAATGAGGTGGTTCTGGGGCCTGGCTACTGCTGTGTGAGGAAGAGAGGGATGTGCTTGTATGAGGACAGTTTGCCACCAGTTCTGGGGTCAGTAGTTCAGCAGCTGTGTTGATGGGTGGGGGGATCAATATCCTACAAACAAACAAACAGTTACCTCCCCAGACAGCCTGGGGCCAGACAGACTGAGGATGGACAGAGAACAGGGCCTGAGAGGATCAGGCCATTTCAAAACACCAGCTGCCTAGCAAATGAGGACCCTCAAGATAATGCAGAGGAGCTGGTATTGGGGCAGGTGAGGTTGACTTCCATAGTACCCCCCAGCGGGACAGGAGTGGTGCTGCACACCTTTAATCCCAGCACCTTGGAGGCAGAAGCAGGGGCATCTCGAGTTTGAGGGCCCCCTGCTCTACGTTAGGGAACCCAAGGCCAACCAGGGTGCCTACACATTGAAACCCTCATAAATGTCCCTCACAGTTTGTGAAAGCACTAAGCCAAGTGTGTAGCACATGCTGTAATCACAACACATGGGAAGCTGAGAAGAAGATGGGGAGTTGGAAGCCTATGGGAGTTGGGGGCTGGTAGAAAAGGGAAGTAAAGTAGTCCCTCTTAATTTCTTTAGACGAGTTCCCATCCGTGTGATGAGCTAAGGGATCCAGTTTTCAACCTCCCTTTCTCAAGTTGAGTACAAAAAAAGATTTCCCCCCTTTCTGATGTGGCCCTCTTGATCACAGGTGCCTTTCTCCACTCCAGAACTTTCCCCCAAACACAACCACCGGCAGACTTGGAGCCATTCAGCAGGAGAAAGTGGAATTGGAGCCCTCTGGTGGACGTGGTTGAAACCGCTTTTGGCGATAGCTCTCTAGGGCCGCCACGTTTTAGGAATAGGAGGGAATAGTCACCAAGGTTTGAACGCACATGCATTCATTCAGTCGAAGGGCTTGTGCTAGAGGGGAGGAACTGGTCGGTGGCATTCCTTTTCCTTTCGGTTCCTGCCTCCAACCCCGAAGAACGTGCTTGAAATGCTGGAGTCTGAATGAGTGCCGGACAAGCCGCCTCTGGGGAGGCCTACTAAACTCATCTGTGTACTCCGAGCTCACGACCCCACCCCCAGTGACTACCCCCAGCGCCGCCGCTGATCGGCCATTGTATTTCTCGCCTGTTTCCCTGGTGGGTCTCCTGGTGGGCGCGAACAGGGGAGCACGTTCCTGCCCGCAGTGGGGTCCCAATCCACATTTGCCTCGTTTCCAGTTTTCCATCCCTTGAGGCGCCGGGCGCACAGAACTGAGTTGTTTTTTTTGTCCCTACCCAGCTCACACCTTTTTTGGATACCTTTTTTTCTGCACGTTCGGCATACAGTAGGAGCGATGCCAATTCTCTTTGGCCCCAGAGAGCTTTCGGAACGAAGGCGTATGATGACGTTTAGAGACTGCTGAAAGAGGGGCTACCGGGTATTTGAGGGGCAAAGAAGGGTTCTCCATCCGGATGCGAAGTGCCTCACACAGTATAGCGGTTTGCATTTGAACTGTCGGAGAGACCGCGGCACTTTGAACGCTGGGCGCTGGAGACGCGCGTCGCAGCGAGGGGCAGTCGCGTTGGTGGGGATTTGAGGGTCCTGGGGCAAGGCAAGAGGTGCGTTTGGGTCCCAGCGAGGGAGTGTTTGAAGAGAGGGCCGTTTGTGTTGGCGAAGAGTGTGTGTTTGTGTTTGCAGGCCAGTGTGTGCATGTGTGTGTTTGTGTTTTCGGAGCGTGGGGGCGTCCAGGAAAGGTGGCCAGGCTGTCACTCAGCGATCAGGTTGACAGGCACTCCCTCATCTGGGCGCGGGAGCTCTGATTGCAGATTCGGGGAAACAAAATAGCAATTGTAATTACGGGGCTTTGATAAGATAAAGGAAGGTGGGAGCTGGTCGGGAGGCCATCGAGCAAAAGAGGGAGGGAGGGAGCAGCCTGCCGGGGGGCCCGACGGAACATTTGCATCTGTCAGTCACCGCGTGCGCACTGGGTGCCTACTGCAGGGGTGATCCATATGTCCCTGCCCTCCCCCCAGACACAGAGTTTGGGGGAGACTAGAAAAGTCCGACTACCTGGGCAAATCTCCAGTTCCTGGGAGTTTCCACATGTAAAGGAATTTGGTCAGGTAAAATTGGGAAGCAGACATGAGGAGGAAGAAAGGGCAAACCCTGACCTGGGACCCTACTCTGGGAGAGAGAGAGGAGGGTGACCATGTCCACTGGGGGAGATGGAGGACAAAACGGTAGGTGAGGATCACTAAGGTTCAGCCCAGGACCCCTAGAACTTCCTGGAGGAAACAGAAACTGGTCTGAGTGAGGTGCTCTACCCCACACATACACATTGGTAGGGAGGTTCAGGGATTCAGAGTGGCTCTGATTGTGATTCCAAGATCATCCATAAATTATTGGGATGGGATGGCTGCCCTGGTCCCTACCTGTGTCCTCCCACTCTGCTCCTCAGATGTGGCCATCCCTTGCTTGCAGTCTTTCCATTTATTTAGCCATCCATTCTTAATACATACAAAATTAAACACTTTTGAGGACCTACTGTGCACAGCACATGAGGTAAAGTCTGGCAAACAGACAGCACTCTTGCCAGCTCAGAGCAATGCAGAAAGAGGCAGACAAGCCATACCGCAGGTCCCTTGGCAGAGCACAGTGAAGGAAAGAAGCTGGCCTTAGCTATCAACACTGGAGCCCCACAGACCTATCTTCCCCATCATGGGCCCATTTCCCAGTGGGGTCGAAAAGAGTCAGGGCTATTAACAATGGAAGCACTCAATGATTATGATTATTGTTTGTTGGCAGGTGAAACCAAGTCTCTTTGGGGAAATCACCACAGGCAGAACAAACTAAAATGCCCAGCCAGTTTCCCTGTTACTATCCCGGTTGTTATCCATCCTACCTGTAGAACAATTCTGTCTAGGTTTGCTATGAGCTGCAACTCCTGTGCTAGTAAGACAGGTCCTTGTAGGTCAGAGCTGAGCTACAGAATGCATGAAGAGAGTCACAGGTGGGCTCAGGAAATCTACTCTGAGGAGGGTTGAGGAGGAAACAATCCTCAAATTCTTTCCTTTCTATATATTGCTCAGTGCTTGTCGTGTATGGCTGGGAGCGGGGAAAGATGGAACACAGAAAAGAGCGGGGGAGGCAGAACCTGGCTTTGCTGATTGACAAGAACCTGCTTGTCTCCCTCTGGCCTAATGGCTTCCTAAGGCCACCTCAAACCCTTCAGCCCTACCCTAGAGACATGGAGGATCAGTGGAGAGGGGGTTGTGGATGGAGACAGCAGCTGGATGGTACATCAATGGTCCCACCTGTTCCACCGAAATACCTGGGCCAGGACAACTCTGCCCACCCAGGCTGCTCCCACAAAAACAGATTTGTGGCTCAGTGTTTCTAGAAGATTGGTGAAGGAAGCAATGAGGTGAGGGAAAGGCTTAGACAAGTCCCCACCTTCTCACTACCATCAACCCCCTTCCAGTTTGCACAAGACACCAGCTTTGCCTACTACATATGTGTAACTACCTGCTCCTGTGGAACTTGGAGGGGAAAGGACTGGGTAGCTTGGACCCAAGTCCTCTTTCCCTAGAAAGAGTTTCACAGAGTAGTTATTATTGCCCCTGCTGGAGCTGAGTTTTAAGTGGGGGGCTGTGCCTTCGGGTCCTGCATTTGGGCTCCGTCTTCTAGATAGGTGGCTTATGGTTCCTCTTAGGCTGGTGGAGGTGGGGTGGGGATGAACAGGGGCTGGGATGATGGTGATAATGGGGTGGTGGGAGGCAGTTCTCCCTCTCAGGACCTCTTTGAAAACTGTATGAGACGTGAAACCCTCAGGGACTGGGGACTCAAAAAGGTGAAGGACCTGAGTCCCACGTCCCACAGGGACGCTCTGCACCAGAGCCGGAAGCCCAGCCATTCATTCTTCTATTAGCGGCTGCTTCCCAGGGGCAAGGGCGGCCTAAGCACACAGTAGGTGGCTCAGAGACAGACTGGGAGCACAGGCATAAGCAGACCCAGTCACACGCTGAGAAAAAGCCTCGGAGGACTCAAGCCCCGCAGACCCCACCGAGCAGACTGTCCCAGGCTGCCCCCCCCATCCCTGGATGATCAGGTCCCAAGAGAACGCGAGGGGACAGGCAAGGGTAGAAGGAGGCGCCCACATCAGCTGCCCCCGCCCCTCCCGCAGGTTCCCAGACCCCTCCCCTCGCGCAG